TATAACGGACTGTTGGGCGTCCGTTGGGATGTGAAAGAGGTCCTACGGCAATTGTGGCGTAAGATGCTTAGGTCATCGGCCACGATGACACGGCTAATTAGCTCCGGCGGTCGTTCGCCGTGAAGAAAATAAGCAGCAGTGACCAAAATTTGAATAATAATGAAAATTCGCTGACTCCCCTTATATCAACCAAGTTGTTTCATGACATTCGATGAATATACTTCTTTCGATGCGGTTGAGCTCTGTCGATGAAAAAATGCTCTACAATTCTCTCAAACAGGCGCCCGAAAATTGACAGCTGGTGGCAGAGAGAAACTTGAAGCTTACTATCAGCAGGATAGGTTAATTAGAAGAGGTACACTATTCAGCTGATGTCATAGTTTGGCCCATTCTCCTTATTTTTCGCTTCAAAGATGCAACTTCGTTCCAAAAATGGATTTAAACAAAGTTGACTTGAATAGGGAATATCAGGTATCAAAATGATCAGCATCACCTGAAGAACACGTTAGTCACTTTTTCATACTATTCCAAAACAAAAAAGAAGCGAAAAGGCTTGCTGAATACTAGTGGAAGCTGTTTGTCTCTGGCTGTAATTATAGCGAGCGACGCTCGCTAATGAGTAGCCTCAGGTACTTTGGAATAGAAAAATGAAATTTTCTGAAATCTGAGAGGACATTCTAATAGCACTCGACGAGCTGAGTCTAATGGTATAGTTTTTCATGTCGAAAAGCGATCAGAAATCAAATTATAGCAAAAAGACGAAAAAGACGCGGATCCGCGTCTTCCGCGTCTTTTTTAACAAAGTTATGGGAGGTACTGTATAGACTTCCCAACTCCATTTTGAAAAAATTGATGTAAAAACCTAGCCAGACACTCTGGAGATTCCACATCCGTAAGTGGATAGAAAGCCTTTCGAGTATACCAACTGGGACTTCTTACAGGACCGAGCACCCAAGAATAAAGCAAAAATCCTCCAAAAAGCGATTTTTCGAGTTCGTTGCTTTCGAAGAATTGTTACAATGGAACCATCCACCTAATAGCTCTAGATTTCTGTATTTCACACCCTGGATGCAAGCGCAAATAAATGCAACACAAAAGTTTGATTCCCTGAAGAAGGCAGAGCAGAAGGCCTGGAAACATTTGGACACGCCTTAGTTGCGTGCCACCGCACGCGCCATCCCCCTCATCCGAAGGCTCGTGTTAACGGGGGAAGTGGCAGATCTCAATTCTATTCTGGAATTACTTTGAGGTAAGAGTTACAAATACTTCCCAGAAGTTGGTTTGTTCCATCAAGCTAATAATATTAGGTTGTCCCATAATTAGTGAATCACTTTGGGTATTTTTGAATTCGAATTTTTTTCTTTTTCATATGGAGTCTCTGCTCATCCAAACATACATCCCTGTCATCTACAATGTATTGCCTATACAGGGAAATTTTGTCGCTGTCTTATCTCTAGAAATCCAGGAGCTATTGATCGAAGAAAGATCGGAAGTCGAGTTTGAGGTCATGTCACTTAGCGTAAAATTCCTCCCTGGGGAAGAGCGCTAGAGGTCAAACTGAGTTGCCTCTTGTTGGCACGAGGATAGGGCCACACAGAGGAAGTGGAAGATCGGCTAGCTTGAGAGTCTCTAATTTTTTATGAATATTCTCCGCAAGGTGGGTCGAACGACCTCAGGAAAAAAGCAGACTTTGTCTTGCTTTACTTTCAAATTGAATGCGCCGCCATTACGCTGTAGATGTTGATCTTCTTCAGTGACTCTAGTATTACTAGGCGGCGGTTCCCAGCGCATGGTCACTCTCGTGCTCCACCAATATCTCTGAAGGGTCGGACTAGAATGAGGTTTGGCTTTTGCTATCAGAACTCCCGAATCGTTCACGCTGGGCTACTGCTCCTCGGAGATTTGCTAGTACACTTCACGCAGTCCAGAACCCTGGTGAATAAGCTGGATGATCACTGTAAGGAACTAAGGGAGATCAGAAGGAACATGACGATGTCAGATCGTGTGCGGAGCTGTTTCGAGCTCAAAGCACACGAGATACAAATTAAATATTTTAAAATCGTTACAACTCTACGTAGATGTCTACATTCCATTATTTTAACAAGTCGGGCATGCTCTAGCAAAAGGCGGCTAGTTCGTCCATATTCACGCTTAGTGGCGCTGGGTATAGCACTGAGATTGCCAGTTGAGGGGTAGTTGGAGTGTGGGTCATCTTCAACTAAAAAAGCCAACCTCTCGATAGAGTGAACTATAAGCAGACCGTGGAGTGAGGGAGCGTGCCCTTGCCTATCTGCTGGTCGATTCTCTATATTGTTGGGCGTTTGAAAGATCTTAATCAGAGGTGATTAAGAAGGGAGCTCAAAAATAGGTTCCAGAAAAATTGAAATGTCAGCCACGGAAGGCAGCATGTACATGGGCCGAGTAATCGCTCAGGTAGGATAATGTGGATGCTACTTCGCAAAACATGTTTCACGCCTTCACCATTTTCTTGGATTTTTAATAACGATAAATGTAAAGTGATTCACTAATTATGGGACAACCTAATACTATGCGTTTTTAACGACACAATGTCTTGGTCCTCATAATTTTGGACCACCCTGTAGAATACGAAATTAAAATTGTTCTGCTTCAATTAGAACTCTACTTATGCATGATTATCCCGAGTTTCTAGCGTTGTTGGACTCTGACAAGCATAAGGAGAATGAAATTTCACAAAACATCCTCACAAGAGAAATTACCATTCTTCAAGGCAGCGATTACGAAAAATTTAAGAAGGGTTATTGTGACGTGGTGGTGCTCAATGGTACGCCAGTGGCGAAAAAAGCAGAAAAATCCGTCAAGAAAACGCAAAACGGGACCCCTTTTTGGCCGTTGGTTTTCACTCATGAACAGGTAACAGCTCAGAAAGTGGAGTTATGAACGAGTTCACCGCAACGCGTTTGATGGCACCATAACGCTTCAATCGAGATGCTCCATTTGCGCCGCTGCTGCCACGCAGCTCGTCCAAATCAACAAGTAAACTAGTGGGCGGATCGCTTTTGGGGGCGGAGTGCTTTCGAAGTCCTGCTCAGCAACCAGTCGTGAAAGCGCCACACCTCGCTTCCTTGGCAGCCAAGTAACTGCTTCGTGTGGTGCATATGCTTCCCGATGCGCTCCCTTTTTATCGTAATCGCTGCCTTTAAGGACCTCGAAGGGCGGTTGGCATGTCCCGTCCAACCATCATCCACAACCAAGAAACTACTTTTCTCGAGTTTTCGGGTCCGCTCAAATGGAAGTCCAAGTGTATCGGCGGGACCTAGCGAATATTATGGAAGTCCCAACAATAAGCCATTGTTGGGCTTCAAGAGCAGGATGGCCCAACTGGCTTCCGCACATTACCGGCTAACTGGACCGAAGGCGAGAGGTAAAAATTCGTGCTCAGCGATGAGTCGCAATTTCCGCGTTTCTGGAAATTATGTTGTGACCTTTTTAAAGTGATGTGTCTACAGGAAATCCTCATTTTAGGCATCAGATCCCAATAGTCAGAAATAGTGGAAGATACCGTAGATGAGGATGTGCCCGGCCATTCGGCAATTCAAAAAAAGGCAAAATAAATAAATTCCCCAGTTCTTAGTATCCAGGGGGTGGGTTGGGATAGTATGAAGAATACAGCACCACTCTTCAATAATCAGAATTAGCCGAAAAATATGGGTCCTCAATCATGACAATGATTCTCCTCGTTGTAGCCTTCCTAGACCCTGAAAAATAAGTTGTTGAAAATGAGGCGACCAAGTCAAGATCTTGACTATAACTGACTTTCAACTCCCCGCTCCCCTCTCCTCCCCCGCCCCAGGGAAGAGCTGGCATGTCGTACAAGCCAAATTCCAGTGAATAATCCCACTAAACATTTGCCTTAGTTCACAATGTGTAGGGTTCAAGTTAAAAGTCTAAAATTATTTCTAATCAATTCCATGTCAATAAAACGATGCTAGCATGAGGTTTTCCAGCTACTCACAAATTAATAATTTATCATGTGGATGCGAAAGCTATTTTGCCGAATTCGCTTCGCAGTTGAAGGGTTTCCAAACTTTTGACGCGCCCATCATTATAAAAAAAATCCTATTTCTCAACTGCGATATTCTGAAAAATCATAGTGCCCATCACGTTCTACACTTGATTCTGTATTTGACGATTCCTGAGCTTCATTGAATAAGTCTTCTGTGTAGCAGATTGAAGAGAAGCTCTTTTAGCATTTATTTCGACAACGTTGTTGCAGCTCCCTTTCCCTGACCATTCAACGTCTATTTCCAGCAACCCGTTGAGCTCGCAGGACCCGAACATCGTCCCAACTCCCCTCCGTTCCAAGGTCAGTCCTTGACTAGGATTCCCCTAAGAGTTTCTATGTGTACATATGTATGTAACATTTACTTAGCTGTTGCCGAATGCAATGTATATAGTTTAGAGAGACCTGAAGAAGGGTTTATAAACCCGAAACGTTGTCGAAATAAATGCTAAATGAGCTTCTCTTCAATCTGCTACACAGAAGACTTGATTCTGTATAAAATATGTGAATTCGGCGCAATTTCTTTGCCTACATATTGGCTTTCAAAAATAAAAAGTTTCCAAAGTTTTGAACGCTACTGTACGTCAATAACAACAGCAATGCGCAGGTTGAGTTGATTTTTCAAATGAAATCGCCGATTGTCCGGCGTTGGAAAGACGCGAGGCTCTGATTGAAAGGTGGTCTTACATAGAAGTTGAGAACTACTGCAATTTCTTTATGGAGCATTCTGCGTGTATTGAACAAACTTCTCGAGTATCATATCACTCCTCGCAAGTTCTACACCGAAAGAGGTGAACTTACTCCATTGGCAACAGGCTGTTACACTTACTACAAAGTACTACTGTTTGTTGTACAACTGGACGGTTTCATTTCAATTCTATCTCGAAGAGGTGTCCACAATGCAATGTTGTGAGGAGCTCATTGGTCCAACGAAAGAAGTGCGATTCCAGTCAATAATTTATTTAAAACAGCATTTTTTGTTGGATTTTGAAACAGCTGTGATGTCGACCTTCGACGATGTATCGTAGTTAACGTTCACATGGCGACTAGAAACTGTCTTGTAGATATGAGTGAGAATTTCTGTGAAGGCTTCGTTGACATTTGTGCTGTCCAAGGCCGAAGTCTCTGAAAAAAATGCTAAAAAATCGAAATGTTCCGATCCATGTGTTCCTTTTAAAGGACGAATTCACGCTGGAAAGGCAACCCATTTCAAATTAACTTAGGATGGTGAGTGGTACACGAAAGAAGGAAAACCATGAGAAACGGCCCAGAACCCGAGAAATGGGACCCCTTCCTTGCCCGTTGATTTGAGCATTGATGCGACTCTCATCGCTGTGCCCTCTTCAACACTACGCTCTCTCCTATCTAATCACTCGCCACGTATAGACCTGCGGCGAGTGATCAGATGATCGGTGGGCGTGCACTGGCCCACCGCGCCAAGATTGAGCCTTAATAGGTCGCCGAGGTCAACTCCTTCGGTGCCAATTGCGCTTCAGTCCGCACCCTTAGGAGGTCCGCGGGTCCCTCAACTAGGTGAATTACTCCTTCTTCGACCTTCATTCTAATCGTGAATTCGTCCTTTAAACTGCATTCCACATCAATGGCTCTTCCCAAGATTTTTTGCTCATAAAACAGCGGCGGAGCTCAGGTTCCATTCCTTGAATTAGCTTTAAAATTTGAGGGCTTCACCCTTTGAAGCTATTGCCAAAATAAGTTCTGTCGCATGAACACGAAGGCAAATTCCGCAGCTAGATCAAGTAGCCAATACTTCCGACTCCGAACGATGGGCCCACATCTAGAGAGCTTTCCGCGACTCAAAACACGCGGAAAGAGCGGTAGGGGCATAGAGCTTGCAACCATGCGCAACTCGAGAAGCCACGAACGCTCACTGCTGCGGTAGCGGCCGTCTCGCTCGCCGCTATAGAACTCAGTTCTTCTGCGATTCACTCGCCCTCGACGCCAGTGCCTCTCAGATTGCTTGTCTTCTATACTGTCCTAAAATACAGCAAAATTTTCTCTAGAACTAGAGGTCGCTTTTCCCCTTTTCACTGTGATATCAACCAACACCTTCCGCTTCGGATTTGAACAACGTATTACCCGTGTTTTTGCTATTCCCACTACCTAGAAGAGGTCGGTGTTGAATTTGCAGATGGATTGGGGGGAAAGTGCGCCAGCATTAGGAGGTGGCGTTGAGAAAATAGCATCACTAAATTAGCCGGGACCGGACTAACAATAATAATAATATACTGTAATAATGCGGCTGTGGTCCATCGCTAGCGGCTTAACAGATTTGTGGAAGTTGCAACACCCCAAGATCTCCCGGCTCCCAGTCGAGGCACGATTCATGAACAAATGCCCGAATCATCTTACTGCATATTAGAGCGCCCATGAATTCCCACGAATTTGTCGAGGAATCCCTCGAATTGTCTATAACCAAGCGACTTTTTTGCCACTTGTTTCATGAAGTAGTTTCGTGCTCTGACCAAGCAAAGTTATAAGTGCATGCTTGAGCATGAAATGCAGAATGGGGTAAACTACGTGAACCATGTAAGAGTTTCAAGTGTTCTAGATAAACCTCAACTACTTCACAAAACATGCCGATTTCAACAATTTTTTGGGGAGTCGGATTATCCATTATAAAAGATCGATTATTTGCAAAGTGAACAACGAACCTATGAATGCAAGGTGATGTCTCTCGGCGAACTGCAGCGCAACGTCGGTGGGAACAGCCCGGAAATGCCGCAGATCGAGTTTGTTGCCGACCAACATCACTGAGACACTTTCGTTCGAGAATTCACGAAGTTCTCGCAGCCATCGCTCGCAGGACTCCAACGTCTGCATCTTCGCTAAAAAAATGTTTTCAAAAATTGCAGACAAAACCAAGCAATGGCAAGAAAATCGCAATTTATGATCATGAACCATTAAGAAGTAAGCTGAAGTTCATAGCAGTAGACTCACATACATATGTCATATACGAGGAGCGCTCCGACTGCTCCTCTATAATAGGCTGACGTAATCGCTCGGTATCGTTCTTGGCCAGCAGTATCCCATATTTGAGCTTTTATCAATTTGCCATCTATCTGAAAAAATCGTAGTTCCATTACCAAACAAAAGATCTCTCGAAAGTTCGCCCACGAAAACGTAAATTAACACATTGACGACAACGCGGGGGATATATATCCCGCGCATTGCAGGCCGTGTCGGACCGTGCGGGGGATATATCCCCCGCACCCATTACACTAATTTTTTTCGCGCACGCCTGGTTCTTCTAGAAGTTTCTTGTAATTATTGAATGGAGGAGACCCTTGACCTAGCTAAAAACATAGTGGTCCATAGAATGGTCACGTATGCTTCAATTTGGAGGAGGATTTTCTGAACCATACGAAATCTTCAGCCTAATAAATTTTTCGTTTACTTTTTCTTCCTATGAATGTGAAGGTTTAAATAGTAGTAGAAGTAGATACGGTACCTTAGAGATGACAATATATGTGTTTTGATTAAAATAATCAACTCAAAATTGCCTTTGAAGTTTATTGCAGCTTGTTCTAAAGAATATCACTTTTTCATTGTTATTCCATGTCTTTCAATAGAAATTCCGCTACTGTACCTCCGAGTAGGTTGTGCTCATTACAATATATTGATCTTGGCCTTGCATATCCCATATTTGAGCTTTTATCAATTTGCCATCTATCTGAAAGAAAATCGTAGTTCCATTACCAAACAAAAGATCTCTCAAAAGTATCGCCCACGAAAATCTAAATTAATGTTTCTGGTCCTAGATATGTTACGTGTGTTCATGGGAGACTAAGCAAAAGTTTTGAGCGAAAATATAAATTCCGAAAAGAACAGCCTTCGGGACGGCTCACCTTCTGAACAGTTGCTGGTGAAAAGAGGAGGGGAGGGAAGAGGAACTCATAGAACGAAGGTGTTGCGTGCGGCTACGTGTACGATCTTAGAAAGATCTAACGTGGAACCACGAACTCAACGGTTCGTTGTGCAAAGATCAGACGAGTAGTATTCGGTCAATAGAAGGTGGAGGGGGTTGTAAACTCAACAACTAGTTACAGAACTTGAAGGTTCCGTGGCTAAGAAGTACAGACAACCAAATACCACTGTAATTACTAACGGACAAAAGTGTGGCGCATACCAGAGTGTGGTTCTTACAAGTACACTTCATATTCCAGTAAGCACGAGCAATCAAGTTCTTTCTCACGAGTTCCGATGCTTTCAGATCAAATCAAAGTTGGAAGGAAGTGCAAGGAATTTGCTTGATTGACTCCTAAAGCTTTAATAGAAACTTGAGTTGGGAGAAAAGAATTCACTTTAAAACTTTTTAGAGGTTTCGGCTCAAGTTATAAAGCCCTGATAGTCACGTTTCAGTGGACTTTATTGCTTTCCATTGTACCATTTTTGAAGAATTTTTTTGATTCATTTACTTATTCGACTATTGTACAGCGGTTACTATTATATTAGGTTGGAAAGAAAGTTCTGCGACACTCTTTCTAAAATTTTCTTTTTTTTGAAAAATCAATAGGTAACATTTATGACTAACAAATGGTAGAGCATTCTCGAGGCTTTAATCCACGAGGTGGATATAAGTGCTGCAGTCAGTAGTTATCCAAGAAAATTCAAAAAACCTCGACCACTAGTAAATCCATACTCCGAGTCACTGTCTAGTACAAATGTCTCCATAACTATGGATTCGTGTCAAAGACCAACACTATCTGCAATAGCTTCAATAGGCATGCCGTTCACCGCTACAGCGTGTTTCACCTTTACCAGCGCTTCCAATCTTTTGATATTTTTATAAGAAGCCGGGAGCGTCCCTCACACTCCATTA